GGAATGAAAATTAAAAGAAACTGTGTGGGGATGATGAATGGAAAAGAGTTTGGATAAGGAGGAAAGAACTGTGGAGCACAGAGAAATTTTAACTTAGGTGCCAGCTTTTCAAGCTTTAATATGGATATCTGCAGCTTTTCAGTAGTGCCAAAGTGCTTTAACCCAATTCTCAGCAATTCCCACCGTGCCCGCAGCAGCCTGAATTGACTTAACACAGCAGCAGCTCTAAATTGCACCTTGAGAGAGACTTGGTCCAAGTATTAAGATATTAAGGATATCATGAAACTTCCACCCAACAGTGCTGGGAAACTCTCAAGCATAGGAAAATACCTGTCTAATTCTTCAACACCATCAACAGGCAGTGACAATTCTCATTTTTGGTGCCCAAAAAATTAGAGCGTTTTTGTTGGAAAAAAACACGTACAAGCATGTCTGAAGTCAGATGGTACATGTCTATGGAACAAATAGATCAAGCTGACAGTGTCTGATCTGTGATTAAGACCTTTATGAACCCCTGCAGATACTAGTTCAGCTTAGATAAGCAGTTTTCAGGCAGATATTAGTTATACAACTATAAGTAATACGTTAGAGCACCTGCATCCTGGAAACCAAATAGTCTTATTGTGCATACCAAACAAAGCAAAATGTTTCTTGCGGCAAACTTTGAACTGAAGAACACAAAAGACTAGTCTGATGATTAGAACTTGGTTTTGTTACTTTCTGCAGCCTGCAAATGCCAACGGTAAATCTTGCTGGCTGTGTGCTGATTAAAATGGCTCATCTCCTGATGTTGCATGAGGTGAAGGAGCATATATATGCAAAAGGATTTTTCTGAAAGATCATGAGTTGTGAAGCAGTATTTGCTCATTTTGCAGTATAAGTAGCTTTTAATTAAAGGGAGTGAAATAAAACTGTGGGAAAATACTTAAAATCCCAAATAAAGCATTGTTAAAATATAGAAACAGGTGCTTACTATATTGCTGATACAACTTTTACTTTGACTACATGCAGTTTGATGTTCAAGAGGTAAACAAGTCAGTCAAATGTACAAATGAGGAGGATTTTAGTTTAAGTGAATAATATAATTAGTATAATTTATAATAATGGACTGTCCGTCGATTGAGAACCTATAAAATGGCACAAGATGTCTCAGCTGTGCCCTACAAAATGAGCTCTGTCATAGCTACTATTTAAAATGACAATCACAAGACTGCAGATTAAATAAAGATTCCCCAATCTATATCATCCCAATGAGTATTAAATTAAGAATTTGAACATATAACTTCCCTGACCAAGGCCAGTAGACCACCTATAGATGTAAAGTGGAATCAAGGACCAAAAGTTCTTCTATTGTGCAACTAATTGTTGACAAGAGTCTGAAAATAATGTCCTAGCCACAGTCACACTGATTCAACAACTCTCTGTCTAAGGCAGTGGTGTTCATTCAACTATTGCCCCATGGGCTAGATCCAGCCCCAAAGTGACCTGCAGCACAGGGGATCAGCAGCAAGCAACTCAGGCCAGCATGCCCCCTTCCCTGTCCTGCACCATGCCACTCCATCCCCTCAGCAGCTGGAAGTAAGCTCTCTTCCTCTTCCCCTTCCCCCCTTCATGTGACACTGGCAGCCACTTCCCTTTCCTCACTATTTCCTTACCAGAACTGCGGCCTGTGAGGCAGTCCAGTGGCAAGCATCTGGCCTGCTTGTCTAAAAGGCTGAGCCCCGCTAGCCTAACGGCTTCTCTACAAATGCACCTATTAGCTACCTATCCGATGGCTCTTTCAGACAATCTGACTCCACACCTGGTGCTGTAATTGTGCTTCATATGCTGTCCTCCTTTAGTTTGTCTCGTCTTGCTTCTCTCTTTTTTCTGTTCTTCACATGCCCCCAGTCTTCCTCTGGAGTACCTGCTCAGCTTCATTCCTCTCATGTTTCTGTTAACTCTGCATATTCTTATACTTCCACCTTCCTCTTCATCTTTTTTTCCTGATTTTACCAGTTTCAGTCCCTTTTTTCCCTGTTAGGCTCCTGGTGATGGCCAGCAACTCTGACCGTTGTTTAACATATTGCACTCTTCCACTTTTTATCAGATGTACTTTCAAACCAGATGCCCAGAGTGAATGAAAGCCACTTTTCTGCAAACTGCAACAGAAAATCAGCTCCCTGAAATCAACTGGAGGAGGCTAAAAATGACTCATTTCCTTGCGCGCAGAGCTTCCACTGACCCACATTTTGAAGGCAAGAGATTACAGAAGTTTGTGACTCTTAACAGAATAGTGGAAAGTTGGGAAGAGATTAATGGACCTTGAATAATTCTGAGATGGCATTTCCCATAAAAATGTTGCATCCTATCATTGTAATGGAAAAAGACTTTAAGATAAAGGCATAACAAAGTGGCTGGGCACTCAGCATGTATGGAGGCCAGTGGTGACTTCTGGCTGTTCTGGCATGTTCTTGCAGCTGTGGTGGCAGCTGATATATTTATGCCTCTCCCTGACCTTCCCCCAAGTCAGTCTGGGGCAGTTGCCCTGGTCACCCTGCACTAGTTCTGCTACTGCTTAAAAGCTGAAACAGTAAATCATATTTTTCACCTTTAAGACTTTAGTAGTTTTGATATCAGCAAATGATCATTTTTCAGCAGTGGCAAGCTGGTTTTCCACCTAACATGTGCTCATCTTTTCAGCATCCAAATTGCACTGAAGCTACATAGAGACAAGAAATTTAAAGAAAAGAGTATTAGGCTGTTAGAATTTCAGATTGGTTTGGCTCTTCCTCTGTAGTTTTGGAAGTCACACAGCAGTCAGGCTAGGTGCCCAGTACTTCCATCTCTCTTTTGCATTATTGTTTAGCAGTCCATATGCTCTGTGCCCAGCTTTAGATCCTTTGGATGGAGTATAAGACCCCAAGTACCACCTCAAATTTCTCTTCCTGGCACCACTAGATGAAGCTCCTCAGCTGTCAGAAAATATTTGACTACTATCTCGGCATGAAGTGAAAGCATTTGTAACTATTTTCATCTTCCTGTATGTGGGCTGAGAGAGCCTCAAAACTCCCTGAAGTCGAGTAGTAACAGACACTAGCCTCTTTTCCCCACAGACAGTGAAGGCGGCGTACCATGAATATATGAAGAGGAGAAGAACACAAATAATTACTACAGATTCAAGAGGTAACCTTTCTTTTAAAGTATTTTTGTTACAATAGCTAATGAAAAAAAATATTCCTGGGTGAGGCAGCTAGCTTTTGAAAAACACTGAAACTATGTATCCAATATTGTAATTACTGTAACAGGGAGCCAGAGGCTTCTGTTACCTTAACAGATGTTGCAGCAGGGTTAAGTCGGCTGTATTGGGGGCAGCAGCTAGGAAGCAGGCTAACTGCTAGGGGACTAACCTCTAGAAAGCAGACAGACCCATAACAACAGGACAGGGGTTACCCCTGGGGCGTGATTACCCTGAAGCTAGCTGAAAGCAGTAAGCTAAACAGGGGGGCAGATATATCTATATGTTGCCGAGGAGCAAAGAATGACACTACAAGCAGCTCAGCTAAGCCACCACCGAGAAGGGCAAAGCTAGCTGTCAGGCCAAAGTGGAAACCACCCCTCTACATGTCCATAGTTCCCTTTGGGATGTTACTACTATAAAATGGAAAACAGATTCGAATTAAAGGGGAAAAGGGAAACTTGTAAATACTTGATAAACAAACCCACTTTTTTTTTTTTTAATTCACTGTGTGGACAAGTTCTTAGGTCTGTAAATTGTTTGGAGTTAGATTATTTTAATCATTTTTAAAACATATCAAATAAAGCAACTAAAGTGATTTCTTCTAAAACTAGACTGTAACTTATACAATGTATTTTATAGGGTGCTCTGACTAATTTTTTTCCTAAGAGTTCACAGTTTACCTGAAAAACGTAATAAATAAAATGAGTCGTGGCATGGTCAAAGAAAAAGAGGGGGAAAGAAAACCAAAGGGCATTTATTTACATTATTAAAACAGGAAATCTGCTTTCAGGGATGGTAGTTTATAGATGAGCAAGAATATGGCTAAGAACTTTATGTTAAATTAGGTTATTGAAACTGAGATCCTGAGTAGTAGGAGACTGAGTCCACTATTTTTCTAATAAGAGATCACTTCTAGCTATTACTTTAAGACTAGATATTACTTTTTGATGGAACACAGTTATCGTATTCATGTGCACAAACCAAGTAACTGTTCCAAGAGAATGGGTAGTTGGTATCTATCTACAAGAAACACAAATACAGTTGTGTATGTCCATGTATATTTAGCAGATCCCTTTTAGATAGGGACTATCCTTTTTTGAAATGTGATTCAAAATAGTTCACTGCTTTTTCTTTTCCCCAACAACAGAGCATCTCAACTAAGTCTGTGGATAGGAGGTAAAAAGGTTGAGGTAACAGGGAGATGGGATTTTCAACGCTAGATTGCATGTTTTAATTCAGCCCACAAATCAAGTGGAATCTAGAAGTTGCCATGTCATGGCTGTTCAGTTGCCTATCTGGAATTAAAATGGTGGTCTCAGTTCACTTCCCAATGCAGTGTTGACATCACACACAGAAAACAATTTTATATTCCAGTAATTTTTCCATTTTCAAATTTAACTTATGATGAGGTTATGGTGTTGTTTTTAAGCAGTTAATGGGCTATCCTAAATATTCAGATATCGGGGTTGATAATACATGGATCACATTTCAATATACAAAGAGCTAATTCTTATGTGTATAGTGTGAAAATAATAGGTATAATATACCAGAGATGCATATCTTTTATAAGCCTAATATTAAATGTATATTCTGAATTTTCCATCTTCGTATTTTAGGAAGCTTTAAAAAGAAAAGACAATGATGGAGATATCTAACACAAGCTCAGCACAACAGCTTATTTCCCTAAATGAAACTCAGATCTCTAAAACACTATATTCAATCTTGATATCACTCTACAGTGTTGATCTAGCTGGAGGCATTACTGGAGTTGTCCTAATGTCCCATCACTTGCTTCAAAGAAGATCGCAGTCTGTGATGACTGCTATCATCATCAATCTCATGGTAGTGCATGCCATTCTGTTACTTAGCCTTCCATTCCGCCTCAGCTATTATATTTCATCTGAATGGAAACTGGGGCGGTTCACCTGCAGAATGATTAGTGGCCTGATTTACGTCCATATGTATACCACTTTCATTTTTTATGTAGCTATTATTCTAATACGCCTGCTGAAACTGGAGTTTAAGAAGTGCTACACAACAACCTGGCTTGCTGCTCTCTGGCTTGTGGGAACTCTGGTGATCTTACCTATTTTTCTTTCCTATTACGGCACCGCTGACAGCTACAAAGATTCAGAATGCTTTCAGTTCCAGAAAGACATGATGAAGGAGGGCATGATGATAACAAACTACTGCTTGATTGCTACTTTGATGACAATATTCTCTGTACTCACCATAATCCAATTAGCCATAATCTTTCAACTGGCAGTGAAGTACTGGCCTGAAATGAACTCACATGTGGAATTCAGAGCTCACATGAAGAGTTTCTTCTTCACCTTGGTAATACTAGTCTGCTTTATACCTCATCATGTATTTCGACTATACTACATTAAACATTTCCACCAGGATCGAGACCATAAACTACTCTTATACAATGAAATCTTCTTAGCTTTTACAGCAATGTGCTGCTTGGACATGCTGTGTTTTGTAGCAGGTATAGCCCATTAAATTATATGCTGCTGGTAAAATATATGTTGCTGTGCTGCTTTCAGTTCTTCGTGGCAGAAAGACACTATCTAAAATGTTTCTTAGATCTATGAGGATTACAGTTTTTAGTATGAGGACAATTTTGTTTGGATTTCATGTTCAGGTTTTGGAGTCTGGTATGTCATAACCTTCAGAAGTCACTGGTCCCCATTCTCTCCCCGGAAGACAATATTTCTGATGCCTGACTATGCATCTAATCTTTGACCAAAGTAGATTGGTTTGTACCTATGTCAAGTTTCACCAATAATTTTCATTGTTTCTAATAGTTGACAGTAACTCCAAGGAGTTACTCTTTCCTCCTAAAGTTTCTCAGTCATGACAGACTACCTTCTCCAGTAAATGGTCTCTTGGACTTGGTTCATGTTAAGGATGGCAGGCAAACGTGAAACAACTTTTAACTGGCCAATGATTAGAAAGAAACTTTTTCCATGAGCAAAGCACTGAAGAATTGTGTTATGAAACTCTGTTCCTCCTTGTATGCTGTTTGAAAGTGTTTTTGAATTAACAAGGAAATGAATTAGGTTCAAAGACTAGAAAAATGGCACCTGAAGACTGAAAATCAGTTTTGAAATAAATAGGCTGGTATTTAAATAGGTTTCTTCTCCTCCTTCATTTAAAGTTCTGGTCTCACAACTCCACCTTTATTTTCATTATTTCAATAATCAAGTGGCTTTTTCAAATATGCTAATCATCATTTACATGCAAAGACCTGAAAAGGTCAAGTTTTTCAGACATCTGCTCAGCGTCACTCCTAAGTCAGGATCGTATCTACTGCTGATATTTCTGGGGCTCTGAACATGAGGACTGGAGCTACAATACAATCTCAGGCAGTCCCTTACTTCTTTGAAGGACTGGACAACAAACTCAGTAACAAGGGACATGCTTTGTCAGTTTCCAAAAAAAACACATAACAATTTCTGCTTTTGTGTCCCTTGACAAAGGCAGTGCCTGGGGCTACTGCCCCTATTGCCGCCTGCTCCACCCACCTCAGTTTTGCTACAGAGAAAAAGCAGCAACTGTGGTCTGATAATGTCCTGAAAGCCATTAAGCTGGGCTTCAGTTTTCGTCTCAGATAAATTCATTGTGACGTAGGACAAGGAATCACTTCCCCTACTTAATCCTTGGCTCCTTCTCTATAAAACTGCTACATAAAAAATGCTTATCCACATTTGTAAAATACTTTGAGAACAACAGGGGGAAAGGGCAAAGTATAGACCGGGGGTTCCCAAACTGTCGTACATGTACCCCTGGGGGTACACAAGACATCTCTGGGGGTACATGGGAGAAATTATATAATGGTCGACTTAATTTTCATTATTATAATAATGGGCATTTAAGGGGTTAAAATATGAAGCATATGCTGGTAGGGGTACACAAGCAGCTGGTAAATCTGGAAGGGGGTCACAATGAGAAAAAGTTTGGGAACCTCTGGTATAGACAAATCACATATTTGGGCAACAAAAGTGTAAATGTACCTGAGACTGAATCTAACACATTCAACACTGGGTTTGATGACCTACAGCCTGGAGCTGGCCTGAAAAGAGGTTGAATCTGAACCAGGAAGATTCAACCCAGGATAGGATTTCAGATGGCATGCAGCTGCACTGTGCCACCTGTCCCCTCCATAGTCCTCCCTACTACTCTAAAGCCTGCACTTACCCATGCTGAAGAAGGGCGGAGTATCTCTGTGGGGCTGGACATGTGCAGCCTGTGGCAGAGGGCCAGGTCACAAACTCTAGTCTGCTGTAACAGAAGGTTGCTGACTAGGGCTATGCAAAGCTTCAGATCATGATTCGGATTCAGAGATGATTCGATGATTCGGAGGCCGAATCTATGAATCCGAATCGAATCACAGGAAACTTTAGGCTTTCCAAATCGATTAGGAAAATATTCGGAGATTCGGCCATAGGGTATAATGGAAAATCAATTAAATATCTATAACTTTGTTGTATTTTGGCTGATTCAGATGAAACTTGCAGCCTCTGCTGATAGTATGACATGTGCCAAGTTTCAAGGTGATAGGTGCTGGGGTTTCTGGGAAACTGCACCCCAAAATTCTGAAAGCAAAACTTGTATCACATGTGTGTGTTAAGCCACAGGGGGGTGAAAACTACAGGGATGGTAGCTCTTACTGAGGCCACAAAGCCTGCCAAGTTTCAAGGAGATCAGTGCAGGGGTTTGGGGTAAACTGCACCTCAAGCTGTGGACAAGCAAAACTCATGACATGGGTGCTTGTGCAACTGTGTCTGTCTTGGGGCATGGGCGTGGGGGGAAACTACTGCAGGCCTGGCTGCTAAGCTACTATGTTTGCAGCTCAATACACAGCACCTACCAACTACATAATGAGCTAAAGAGCAAGGATTAACACCTACAAAACCACAGACTAAGAGGAATAATCAATATAGAGCCAAACTGTTTCTGCTCCAAGACAGAGACAGTCAGTTGCACAAGCACCCATGTCACGAGTTTTGCCTGTCAGCAGCTAGGGGTGCAGGGCCCCAGAACCCAGAAGTCCCTGCACCTATCTCCTTGACAGCTGGCAGGCTTCGTGGCCTCAGCAGGGTCTAGCAGGCCTGCAGCTTTCACCCTGCTGTGCCTTAACACACCAAATGTCACCCCTGTCATGAGTTTTGCCTGTCAGCAGCTTGAGGTGCAGTTTCCCCCAAACCCCTGCATCTAGCTCCTTGAAACTTGGCAGGCTTCATGCTCTCAGCAGAGGCTACCATCCCTGCATGTTGTATCCAAATTGGACAAAAATCAACAAAGTTATAGATATTTCATTGATTCCCCATTATACCTTTTGGCTGAATCTCTGAAGCGGCTCCAAAAGCTTCGGAGCCAATTCCGCCAAATCAAAGCAGGAAACCAATTCTGAGCTCTGAATCGAATCACTGGCATCCGAGTCGGCCGAATCCAAACCCGAATCGAAAAGTCCCCTATTCACATAGGCCTATTGCTGACCTCTGATCCACACCACAGTCCAGATATACCCAAGTTAGCTTTAAATTATCTAGCTCAGGTCCTGCATTGCATCATTGTCTGTGCGTTTACTCATATTCTTAGGTATTGCTTTGTGGTTTTTTTGCTGTCACAGCAGTATTGCTGGCAATCTGGGCTAGCTAATTTAGGTATGTTGCTAGGAGCTTCGGCAAATGCATTGCAGGCAAACGACATTAGCTTTCAAAGCACTAGGAATGTTATTTTTACTATAATCTGCTGCTTCTCAAATTGGCAATGCTGGAAAGTAAAAAGGTTCTCATTTTCCCTTGATGCATCTGTTCCTTCTGCTTGCTTACAGTAGGGTTATGTTGATTATATTACTGACAGCAGATCATCATGACCTCTCACTGCAAGCAAGCAGGAGGAACAGATGCATCAGGGGAAAACAAAGACCTTTTTATGTTCCAGCATTGCCATTTTGGGTAGCAGCAGATTTCAGAAAAAATAACATGCCTAGTGCTTTGGAAGCTAGCATAGTTTGTCATAGGGTGTAGATAGGTGTTGCATTTGATACAGGCGGAAGCATTTTGTCCCATGGCAAATCCTGACCTTTTAGGTATACAATCCCATGTTTCATGTCAAATCGTACTAAAGTATGTAGGTCAATAATCTGCTATTGTTTTTTTCTGGGACAAAGAATTGCACATATGTAAAGTTATCTCAAATAATCATCCCAGGACAAGCTGGCTAGACAGTCCTCCAAACATCCCACAATGCACTGGTTCGCCCCTCTTTAACTTCAGGTGGTCATTCTACCATAGGAGAACTCTATTGCTTGCAGGTGAGAGGTCACATGTGGCCTCACCCACCTTTTTTTGCCCTCTATGGTGACTTGCTTGCCATCCTGTGCTCCCACCCACACAATTGAGGGCAGCACCCTGACCTCAAACCATGCTTCCATCAACCACCACTGGCTGCAGGCATGGCAGCAACTAGATGCAGGATGAAGTAATGGACATGCTCACCATTTGGGGAAAGGTAGAGACCCAACAGTTTCTCCATTCCAGCCACTGAAACCAGGTGGTCAATAAAAGGATTGCTGTGGAAAAGGCTGCCCATGGGCACAACCACAGCTGGCACCAATACTGCTCAAAGTACAAGATGCAGAAGCAGTAGTTCATGAAGGCCTGGGGTTTCAATTATGTGCAGTATCCTGCACCTGTCCTACACATGTAGGGTGTCCTGTACCTGCTACAAGGAGCTATCCTACATCTTGGAAGTGGATGACAGGGTGCAGTCCCACCATGTGGCACATACTGCTTGCATCTCCCAGGACAGCAATATGGAGATGGGACACGCCATCATTCTGTTCTACACAGCCATTCTTTCCTGCCTCCACCTTGATCCAAGAGATGGCCATGGAGCTGTTCCAATTTGAGGGCTCCCCTCCTCTCCCAGACAGCATGAAGATGGACTTGCAGCCAGACAGTCACTGGCCAGAGCACTAAGGTCATTCCCAGTCTACTTCCTGGCCACCCTTAAAGATAACAGGTTTGCAGCTGACTCCTACCTGCACAGGGCTCCTCTCACTGCTGGCAAAAATGCCTGCCTCTAGGTCCTAGGGGTCCAGTCATTGTGAGGGACCAAGCAAATGTCTCTCCCAGCCTGTCCAGGGTAAGTTTACTCATGGGGTGTGCAAGGGGCTGAAAATGTTCCCAGGGGTTCATTCCCAGGAAGCAAGGGGGAACCCCAGGCTGAGCCTTATGGAAAGGCAACCTTAAACCCATTTCATTCCGAAGTATAGGAGTGATACCAGACACTGTCAGATTTCAGAGAGGTTTTTGACATAAGTCCAAAAGACCAGTGAAAAGGGCATGTATATATGGCGGACTTACTGATACAGCAGCCCGAAGACTCCCTCGCCAAACGGGAGTGGTGATCAGCTGCATCCCCAGCCCCGCTGTGGAGCAGCATGGTGAATGGTGCACAGCTCGGTGCATGGAGCCAGACCCTGGGAGTGC